ATTTGTTGATATTATAAGTGCCTATATATACCATAGAGCGTTTCCAGAAAAAGAAGAAAAAAAACAACAGCAATATATATATATATATATATATATATATATATATATATATAACAATAATGATAGAATTTAAATTCTTTTTGGTTTGAACAGATATATTACCAACATAAGGAAGTGTAGAGTAGTTTTTCATCACTTTTTGGTTTGTAAATTTGTATTGATTAGTAGAAATAGTTTTTTTGTTAAGAAAAGAATCATGAATTTTATTTATAAGCCAAGTTGGATACATGTTGTTTTTAAGAATGTTAAAAAGATTATTAATGTCATAATAAAAACCAAGTTGAGTATTATTAATTTTAAAGGTTCTATCAATTAAGCATTTAATAAGATTTACCTTGTGTAAAAAAGAGAAAAAACTAAAAAAGAGAGTTATGAAGGCCTGAATATGTTTCCTTATGAAAAATGGAAGTACATAAGTCAAGAAAATAGCATGCATCATTTTCTGATGGGTTTACAGCAAAACTGTCATCAACATAAGGTCTGTATATACTTGACTCCATTGTATGATTTTAGCCATTTTTTTTCAAAATGACTCATAACTAATTTAGCAAGTTAGGCAACTTTTCATCTTTGCAATGTTGCAAAGATGAAAAGTTTCTTTAAATGAATTTTGTTGATTTTGAGATTATCATTAGTACTTAAAATTAAATTAAAAGCAATATCGACCGTTTTTCAAAGAGGTGTATTAGTGTAAAGGCTTGTGACGTCGTAAAATACTAACTGTTTTCTATGAATATTAGCTTGATTCACATCTTTTACAAATCTGAATGAATCTTTTGTACAAAACTCTAAAGGTATTATAGATGACAGTAAATCTTTTAAAAACTTTGCTAATTTATAGTTGTAGGTGCTGATTAATGAAATGATGTCTGAAACTGAAATTCATATTTCCAGAATATAGTTTACGTATTTTTAGGAGACAGTAAATGTCAGCATATTGTAAACCAAAAGGATGTTCAAACCAAAAAGGGTTTAAACTCTATCATTAAAAAACATTGTAAACCTATAACCTTTAATTTGATTTTTACCTCTTTTAAATTTTTTTATTTATTTTCATCAAAGGATCCTTTTCCTGTGGTGTTCAAATCATTTGTTGTTTATAAATTTGTATAAATCTATATGCCAGATTTAATTCCTGTTATATAGGTGAAACTTCTCGCCACCTCAAAGCTCAAATGATTGAACACTACAGAAGAGACAAAAACTCACACATATAAAAACTAGAGGTGTGCCGGAACCAGTATGTGGCGGGTTCCCAATTTTAGGTACCCGGTGGTAAAAACTTGGTTTGAGAACGGGTACCCAGCACTGAGTCCATTTAAAAAAGTAAAAATAAAAAACAATTTAGACAACACTTTTTTGGTGTATTTTATTTTAATTTCTTTCATAATTTTTTGTTCATGACAAATGAAAAATGTTATCAGGGTTTGGAATAATTAAAAAGTAGACAATCAAATAATTTTTTCGAAAATAATTGATTGAAAATTTCATTTGAACAGAATTTAGATTTTTAAAAACGGCAAAAAATAATTAAAATCCCCTAAAATTATGCAATGTTTCTATGTTTTCAGCAGCCGTGGCGCAGTGGTAAATTGCTTGCCTGAGAAACAAGAGGGAGCGCACCACCTCTCGTTTCTGAGGGGGGCATGCCCTCAGAAACGAGAGGTCCTATTTTTTTGTGTGAACTTTCTTTTTTTTTTAAAGATTGACAATTTTTATAAAAAATTGAAAATTTTTTTCAAAATGAGATAGTGTTCCCCCCTTTTTGAAAACCTTGTCGTCAACTCTGGGAAAATTATTGATTTTTCGTCTGACCTCCTAAACTTCATGGGAAAAAGTTTCAATTGAAAATCATCTGTTGGTTAAAAGTTCGCTGGTTAAAAGTTTATTTATTGTAAACAATCATTTAGCAAAAACCTTATTTAAAAATGACCTATGCAAAGTATTAAACTTTCATTTATCTTTCTCTCACGTTCTAAGCAATAAAAAGAAGGAATTACTAGTTTTTTTTCTTTCTTTTTCTTTTTATTTCTTTCGTATTCTCATATTATTTTGTTTTGCGTTACAGTTTTTATATCTGTTTAAATCAGTTTCAATTTTCGGGATATTATCTGTTATCAACATTTTGCAATATATTATAGCATAAATATATTTGAAAATGTAATTTAACTAATACATGTTTAGATTTAGTACATAGGAATTATCAACTTCTAAATCAAGAAGTTTATTGGTTCAAGCAGTACTTTTTATCTCATCAATAATATTTCTACACAGTTTAAAGTAACACTAAAACAAAGTTTGTTTTATTATTTTTATTATTTGCTAGTTACAACACTTAAAGGTTATGTCTGTTGAAAATATTTTCAAAGATACCCGGTGCCGGGTACATCAACAAAATGGCCGATTCCAGGTACCTGGTAAAACTGCTAAATTACAGGGTCCCCTGGTCCGAACTGGGTACCTGGCACATCTTTGATAAAAATATCTCCATGCTAACAAAAATTGTTTTGATAATTAAAAAAAAAATGACTGTTTTTCGATATTGGATTCTGCCTTCAATAAATTCGAGCTTAAAGTTAAGGAAAGTTTGTTCATTGAATGGAAAATTTTAGATATGAACAAACAGTTGAATCATTAGATATCTCTTTTCTCATTATAATTAACTTATAAGTCATTAACCTTTTGTTAAGTAATATAATTTTTTTTGTATTGTATTTTTTGCCATAGCATATTTTGTTTTTATTAATAAAAAAACTTGTAATTTATATTTTATTACCGTAGAATATTTGTATATAAAATTTAATTTTTTAAACTCAACTGAAGATGGCAAATTAAACATATAATTACATAGAAATAATTATACAATATAATTGAACCTGTTATTTCGAAAAGGGCACAAGTCCATTTATTAAAACTTTTCAAAATCAACAAAAATATGATTTTTATTAAAATAATGTCTATGCTGGTAAAGAAACTAAACATAAAAGTAGATAAATAAAGAACATATACAACTTAAAAAACGTAAAAAATATGAATCATACAGAGATTTTTAATTTAAATTAATAAACTAACTGTTAAAAGGTTTGGACCTGTGTCTTTTTAGAAATGACAGGTTCAATTAGTTAAATGTACCTATCAGCATTAACATTTTTGAGCAAGAATATTAAAATTTAGTTAAAAGCTTTAGTTATTTTTAATTTTAGAACATGATGTATTTTCAGTAGATTTTATTTCTTTTTATTTGCTTTATTGTTGTTTTTATTACTCTTTTGATTTCTCAATCTTTTATAGAAGTGGGGATAAAGATCAATCACCCAACTTTAATGATACAATAATGTCTCAAAATGCTAGTGAGCGAATGGCATTTTTCAGGCAAGCTGCAGAAGAAGAGAAATTAAAAGAAGAAAAGCAAAGAGAAAAAGAGAAAAGAGAGATTGAGCAAAAAGAAAAAGAACAGAGAGAGAAAGAGCAGAGGGAGAGAGACCAAAAAGCATGTAGTGTAGCACCAACTTCCCCTATAGCTGTTGAAAAGAAAGAAGATAATGATGATGATGATGACACAAAAGACAGTGAAAAAATGAAATTTGCTGCGTAAGTTAATGATTTTAATTGACCTTATAATATAGTTAGAATATCAAAACAATTGATTTAATATTAAAAATTATAGACCATGCATGAAGAAGCGTGAGAAAAAGAAAGTAGTAAGAAGAACGATGTCTATTGGATCTATTGTTTTGGATTGGGTTCAAGAGATGGTTAAAGACTATCCTGTTGAAGTGAAGAATTTTAGTTCAAGTTGGAATGATGGAATGGTTTTCTGTGCACTTATTCATAGGTTTAATCCAACAGAGTTTGATTTTAGTCTCTTGAAGCCAGAAAATAAAAGAGAAAATTTTAATACTGCATTTGAAACTGGGAAGTAAGTAAACGCTTTTTTTAGATTTGACTGATGTATTTAAGCATATAAAGTATATTTAAGTATTTAATAAATTGGTAATTAACTCATACACATAAGTAACACAGGTTTTAGATTTAAATCTGTGTTGAACTTGTTATTTTATTGTGGAAAAAAATTAAAAAACTTTCTATAAACAAATGGTTTCTAAACAATGGGTCTGTGGTCCACTAGAGGACCACAAAGCAGTTTTTGTAGGACCACAAAAAATTAACAATTTATTGATTGTAAATAATTAAATATTAAATAGTGTAAAAATATATAAACGTCAAACATAATAATTGATGTTTTTTTTTTTATATGTTATATATGATATATAAATATATTTATTTACCCAAGACCTAAGGAGCCACTGTAGTCAAGTAGGCTTCTTTGTTGTTGTTGTTGTTGTTGTTGTTGTTGTTGTTGTTGTTGTTGTTGTTAGAGTTTCTAAAATAGCCGAAAATTATAATACCAGTTTTCAATATTCAAAATAGTTCAATACCGGTATAAACCAATATTTATAAAAAAGCATTTAGAAAATTTAGCCAAATCCTTAGAAAACTTAATGTAAAGAAAAAATTAAATAAAAAAAGAAAATTTTTCTTTTTTATTTTATTTTACTTTTTCTGAAAATTAAATGTATTATTTCATCACAATCTTAACACAATCGCCTAAGTTATTTTTTCAGGTTATGAGAAAATAATAAAAAACTTTTATAAAAATTGCTAATTTTTCTCTGACATCACTATAAAACAATATAGAAAAACTATTTTCTAATTGGTTTAAGATATTATCTTAAACCAAGTTATCTTAAACCAAGTTATTACTTCTTGACTCGATGCATGGGTTTTGCTTGTGTCTCTGTTTTTATGACTAGGCAACTCATTCTATTATCTCCAAATGAGGGTACAGCTCTAAAACTCAGTTTTATGGTTCTGAGGCTGGCTGGTAGTCAGGTTTCCCGAACTCTGTGGTAGCTCTCAGAGAGGCTGATTCCATCAACAGCTGAAAAATATCCAAGTACTAACAGTGCCATGTTGCGCATGGATGGTGTCCCTGTTTGTACTTTTGTTATGCATTGCCAAGGCCACATTGGAGCCCTTTGTTGCGGCTTAGGGTTTATTAGTGGAAATGAGGCAATTGCTTGGGCTATAAAACAGTGTACTGTGTACTACCGATGTTTCGAGTCAAGTTTTTTAACAAATTTAAAAATGAATAAAGTAACAAAAACTATAAAACACAAAAAACCACAGTCATCACCAAGTTCTCTAAACCTATCATTCACCAATATTCGTGGTCTTCGAAGTAATCTTTCTTCTGTTGAGTCTTATCTCTTGCAAAGTTCACCAGACCTACTTGCTCTTTGTGAGACTAATTTGAGTTCAGCTGTCTCATCTTGTGATCTTAGTGTTGATGGTTATCTTCCTTTAATTCGTAAAGACTCCAATAGTCACATGCATGGCCTAGGCATTTACATTTGTAAGAAATCACCTATTTGTCGGGAAACTAGGTTTGAATCCACAGACTACTCTTTTATGTGCTTTTGTTTAGCACCACTTCACTCTATCACCTTTCTCTTTGTTCTATATCGCTCTCCTTCATCTCAAGACTGCACTCTTCTTGATGTTATTTCTGATTATATTGAGCAAGCCCTCATTCTTTATCCAAGCCAATATTGTTGTTGTCGGTGGCTTTAATGTTCATCACACTGAATCGCTTGGCTCTAGTGTCAGTGACTCTGCAGGCATTTAGCCCCACAACTTTTGCTTTTCTCAATCCCTTACTCAAATAGTCAACTTTCCAACTCGCTTTCTAGACAACCCGAATCATTTACCTTCTCTACTCGACTTATGTCTTGTTTCTAATCCTAGTCAGTGCTCAGTTTCTCCACACTCATCTTTAGGTGCTTCTGATCATGGTTTGGTCTCTCTAAAACTATTATCTTATTCTTCTTCTTTACCATCAGAATCCCCCTATCATTGTACATCTTACAACTACCTTAATGCTGACTAGGACTCTTTCCGTGATTTTCTTTGTGATGGCCCCTGGGTAGAAATCTTTCGTCTTCCTGTTGACAAATGTGCTTCTTACATAACTTCGTGGATTCAGGCTGGCATGGAATCCTTTATTCCCTCTCGACGATTCCAGGTCAAGCCTCACTCTTCTCCATGGTTTTCCTCACATTGTGCTGCTGCATTTGCCAATTGAAACCATTACTTCCATATCTATCAGTAAAACAATTCTCCAGAAAACAGACGTCTGTTTATTACTGCTAGGAACCATCGTAAAAAGGTTTTGTCTAAAGCCAAAGCCCGCTATTTTCAGATCATGAAATCTTGTATTTCATCACAAAAATTAGGCTCTCGTGACTTTTGGAGAATCTTTAATAGTATCAATAATAAGGGCAAGTCTATAATTCCACCTCTTCTGTACGGTTCAGACTTTGTCACCTCACCTAAAGACAAAGCTGAATTGTTTGCCAAGAACTTTTCATCAATATCATCTCTTGATTCCACTAGTTGCGTTCTACCTGATATAGCTGTCAAACAGGTTGATCCACTGCTTGACATCCGTATCACTCCAGCTTCTGTATCTAAAGTGATTTCCTGCTTAGACTCTTCTGCAGATTGCGGCCCGGACAACATACCTGTTATAGTCTTGCAGAAGTGTTCTCCGGAGCTGTCGTCTATTCTTTCAAAACTATTCAACAAGTGCTTATCAGAGTCTTGTTTTCCAGCCTATTGGAAAGCAGCATCTGTTATCATTATTTTTAAAAATTTTGGAGAGTGATCTGATTCGTCTAACTACCATCTGATTAGTCTTTTTCCTATCATAAGCAAGGTTTTTGAATCTTTAATTAACAAACACTTAATCTCTCATCTCGAATCTCATAGCTTACTTTCTGATCATCAATATGGATTTCAATCTTCTCGTTCTACGGGTGATTTGCTAACATTAACGATCTTCCAGATATTCTCACATCTAAGGTGGCATTGTTTGCTGATGATACTACCATTTATTCTTGTCACGGTAAGAAGCCAACTCCCACTGATTGCTTGCAGGGGGCATTTGAACTTGAAAAGGATCTCACTTCTGCTACAGCATGGGGCTCACAGTGGTTGGTGAACTTTAATTCAGATAAAACTCAATTTTTTTTGACCAATCGTTATCGCAATAGTTTAGACCTTCCTATATTTATGAACGGTAATGTACTCGATGAGTCATCTACCCTTCATCTTCTAGGATTAACTCTTACTTCTGATATTTCTTGGAAACCTTATATCAATTCCGTTGCAAAATTAGCATCTGCTAAAGTTGCTTCTCTTTATTGAGCTCGTCACTTTCTTACTCTGGATTCTATTCTCAATCTCTATAAATCTCAAATCCGGCCTTGTATGGAATACAGTTGCCATATCTAGGGTGGATCTTCTAATGATGCCCTTTCTTTTTTAGACAAGGTGCAAAAACGCATTTTAAACATAGTTGGACCTGCTCTTGCAGCCAACCTTCAACTTCTGTCACGTCGTCGCAATGTTGCTTCTCTTTCTCTTTTCTACAAATACTATAATGGGCACTGCTCTAAAGAGCTATCGTTTCTTGTGCCATCTACTAAAATTCATTCTTGTGTTACTCGTCATTCAATTAAGTCTCATCTTTTTTCTGTTACTGTTCTTAAGTGCTCCAAAAACTCTTATTCGTCCAGTTTTTTTCCTTGAACATCAGTTCTTTGGAATTCGCTTCCTTCATCTTGCTTTCCTGATTCATATAATTTGCAATCTTTTAAGTCGTCTGTCAATCGTTATCTTGCTCTACAATCTTCATCTTTTCTCTTCCAGTAACTTCCAACCCTAATTAGTGGTTGCTTGCAGCCTTGTTGGAAGCGAAGATGTTTAAAAAAAAAGCAAAAAAAAATTTTTGTATGTTTTATTGTGATGTAAGAGAAAAAATAGCAATTTTTTTTAAAGCTGATTATTTGTTTCTCATAACATGAAAAATGACAGGGCGATTGTGCTATGATTGTGGCGATTTGAAAATATTAAGTTATTTTATCAAGCAGTAATAACTCAATAATTTAATGTTCCAAAAAATTTTTTTTTTACATAATAATGCATTTAATATATCAAAATTCATTCGGCTTCAAAGCTTAGTTAAAAGTTACCAGCAACCAAAAATGTTCTTTTGAAGGGTGTTGACATAGGCTGAATTGTTTTGAGAGCGGCATCAATCTTATTTAAATTAGAAGTTCGAATCCCAGTTGCCTCAAACAGCTTTAACTCCCTTAATATTTCTGAAAATTGATCAGAACAACTAATTTTGGGTTGGAAACAAATCAACTTTGTTATGGGTTGTTATAACTCTTAAGGTTATTATTGGCTTCTTCAGCAACTTCTTAATCCAATGATTTGACATTAGCACTATCCAATACTTTGGTAAAATTTTGTTCAACTATATTTTTTGCATTTGAATAATTGCTGGTCTTTATGAATATTTGAAGCCATCATTATGTTGTGGCGTAATTAAATTGGGGTTTTGCAAATATTTCATAAGTGACATTAAATCTTTGTTGTGTCGCTCTTCGTATTGCTTTTTGAAGGAATCTAGCATCATTAGTTAGTTAGACGTTTGTTCAGAAATATTTTTAGTTAGACGTTTGTTCAGAAATATTTTTGAACAAAAACATGTGAACACCTTCATTCATTCATTGGTCAGAATAGTTGAATTATCCTTATTTAGATCCTTAACAGCCAATTCATTAGGTTTTAACACTTTTAAAATATCTTTTAAAACTTTAAAATTAGCTTCCTCATATTTGTTTCAATGTAAAAAACTGCTTTTTAAATGCATGGTTTCAATTTTACCAACCTTTCAATCATGGGAACTAAAGAGTTCCACCGGGTTTTAATGTCAAGTTTTAGCATCAGTTTTTTATTTTCTTGTTTGAAAACAATATGAAGCTACAAACGCTTGATGATTTAAAAAATTTAATCATTTTACGTGAGTTATTCAATACAGACTTGACGTCATCTTGAAATGTTCTGTTGCTGCTTCCATAAGCAATTTTTTCTATAATATCATTAAAAATGTTGCTGTGATTCAATTTCTTAAGATTGTCATTATAATCAGAATCTGAATCATTATCTTCTTCCAAAGTAAGATTAAAAAGAAGTTCTTTGGAATTGTTTGCATTATGATATTCATTGGCATCTGCTTCATTTGATTCGTCACTCAAACATGTTAGGTTATTACTGGTAGGTAAATTTTTGTAGAAAACATCACTCATGGCCAGATGAATACTGCGATTGTGGCACAGTTGACTCTCTACAGGAATTATCCGTCCATATTTTTGCATCACTGCAGCACCATTGTGAGTAGATGTAATTATGTACGTAACCCAAATTCTGTCAATTTTTCTTTCACTAATTCTTCTGTTATAAAAGCATCCCAGGAACTATCAATTTTAATAAGACCCAATTTATAAGCAACTTTATTGTGTAAAGTTACATTTATATACCTTTTAATGGAGATGTTAGTCCATCCATCAACTGTTATGCTGAACTTTTTACCATATTTTTTCAAAACAGAAATTTCATTACACCTTTTGTGTTTTTTTTATCTCATAAAACAAGCAAGCAATTTCGCCAATATTTTATGTTTAAAGAATCAGTGTACTTTTTTTTTTTTCAAAACTTCTGCAACAGGTGTTTCATCTAACTTCATATTTTCTAATATTATACTATGGGTAGTTCTCATGTGGGTAATCAGACCAGATGTGCTCGAACCTTTGCATTTTATGAAAGAATTGCACAGGGTACATTTTGCTTCACTAGCTGAATTGTATGATTTTGTGACATACTTCCAGACAGAAGAGCTTTGTCTTAGCATGTTTTTTTTTTGTACTTGTCTTTTATTGGTTATATATATATATAAAGTAAAGTAAAATAAATATAACACAAATAAAGTTACATTACTTATATTATTTATTAACATAAGTAGATATACTAAATATTATAATGAAATGTATAGTTTTATAATGCTAAACAATTTATTGTTTCTTATATATAAACTATTATTATAAAAACCTTAATAAAAAGTTAACGCTACAGCTATTATATACCTTCATTTATGAACCTATTGCGGAAGTTCTTCTTCATGCGGAAATAATGCCCAAGGGAATTGTAATATTGCAATCGTTAATACTTTTCCAAAAATAATTATACAAATTGTGGAAGGGGAATCGTACAGTTGCAATAATTACAACACCAAAAAATAACTAATTAATTAAAAAAAAATAACAAACTTGTGGTTTGCAAACAGCATAACAAAATAACTAAATAAATTTCGTTATTTGTTTACAAAATTAAAACACAAAAGGTACATTAATTCGAATTGCTATCTTTATTAAGTTCAAGTTATTAAATTTTTAAAACTCTAAAAAACCGTTATTGGGAAACGGTTTCAGTATTGGAAAAATTCAGTTGAATACCGGTTTTCAATACCGGTATTGAAAACCGTGGAAACTTTAGTTATTGTACCTTCTTTAAACCTTATATCTCTGAAGTATTAATAAATATTCCATGTAAAACATTTAAATTAAGCACATTACTTTTAAGGACACGTTGAGTTTGAATTTTGTAGTGCTCTCCTTTACTTTGTTCTATTTATAAATGTTACTACAAAATTTTAGTTCATCTTTCAAATATATTTCAGTAACACTACATTATTTTTACCACTTTTTGCCACTACATAATTTTTGCCTAAAAAATTCGTTTAATTTATGTAAATAACATTAAAAGGCTTTTAAGTATAATTTATGGGTAAACCTATAGTTCTGCACCATTTAGTAATTAATCATTTATAATAAATTTACGGTGGATATACTAAGCTGGATTAAAAGAAATTATCGCTTTCAGTTTTTTAAAAATAATATAGATTTTTTTATCAAAGGTTCTGCAATCTATTTAAAAATATTTAGTAGAGACACAAAAAAAAATTGCTGAAAAAAAAAAACTAATAAAAATGTAAAAATTTATTGTTAAGGAGAAAATCCTTATGCTAAAACCTCTAGTTAGGAGGTGAGGGGGTGATGGGGATGGACATGAAGGGATGATGGAAGAGAATATGAGAGAGGTGATTTGATATGCGGTGTTGATAGGGATGAGATATGCAGGAGTGATAGAGATTAAGTATTGCTGAGTTGACTTTTTTTTATCATTAATGGTGATCTCGCACTCCGACTTAACTTTGATGATAAATGAACTGTTTGCTTTTCTTCAAAAGTTTGCTTTTAACTAAACCTTGATCAGTCGCCCAATATAATGAGACGGATAATTTAATATTAATTTCATTGTTTTTTTTACTGATAAAGCACACTTCGGAGAGTCTTAAATGATATATGTTAGATGCGTTTTTGTATAAATAGTTGTTAAGTATTCTAAGTAATTTCATACTGAATTTTTAAATTTTAGAAAAGTGAAAAATATTCCTATATTATTGGATACAGAAGATATGGTTCGAATGGATAAGCCTGAGCCACGAAGTGTTCAATGTTATGTGCAATGGATATGGAGTGTGTATGGTCCTACTTCAGGTTATGGTCCAACACCGGGAGAAGTTCAAACTTAACTTTTTTTTTACTGCTATTTTTATATCCAATTTTATATATTTTTAATGTTATACATTATAGTTTTTTTATCATTATTTTTTTTTCTTTTAAATTATTTTCAATGTAAAGTTTTTTGAAGTACGTTAGAGTATTTCCATTATTGAATTATCCCAGGGTTTATGTTAAATCTACTGAAGCTGCATGCGATATTGAATGCCGTATGCTTTTGTCAAAACTGTGAGATGTATTTATGAATTTTTTTATATGTACTTTTCTTTAAACATGTTTTACATTTACTTTCTTACTTTTGAATTATTATTTCAATTCTTAATATCACACGATTTTAATATTTTGGTGTCTCATTTATATTGATTCGATTGATGTTAATTACTGGATAATATTAATTTTTTATTTTAAGAAATTGTAAAAATGTGTGACCATGAAAAAGCAATGCCTCGCATACGCAATTCTCAAAACCTATTTTTCACTTTTCATTTGTTTATATGTTTCTATTTTCAGTGTGTGAATTATGTAATTTGCGGCAAACAATTTAATATCGTAAAAAACAAAACACTTTTTCCAACAATTCAGTTCTAGTATCCTGTTTTCTTTGCGCCAATTCCTCATAAAAATGTTCAAAAGATAATGCCATAGAAATTAAAAATATATTCAATTACCTATTGAAGGAAATGATATTTCATAAGTTTAAAGTAAAAAACTTAGTTTGCCAACGAGATTTTGCTTTGATTGATAAAAATGTCGGAGTCAAAATTCAAATAAAATGTATCAGATAAGGGATCGTCCATAAACTACGCAACGCGAAATATTTAAAAAACAGAAGTAGGAGATCGTTTGCTCTTTTGCGCGATTTTATTTTTCGGTTTAATTAAATACTCTGCGAGGAAAAACTTTTGATCTATTAAATGTAGCGTTGCGTAATTTATGTATGATTCCTAAGATGCAAACGTTATTTAAAACATTGTAAATTTTTATTTAGCAATCTACTTCAACGATTCGATTTAAAATTTAAAAAACAACTTAAATTTTTAGTGAAAAGAATTGGAATTGTCTAATTTTTAGTTAAAGTTTAATAGGTTTTTGTTCTATATGTTATATATATATGCAATAAAAATATATATATGTTGTTTCAATATATTTTTAACAAATTCAGGGGCGCCTGTTTTTAGTTACTATTTACATGTATAAATTTTATTTATTTTGAAAAGTGATGTAAAGCCGAGGAAGCGAAAGAAATATATGTAGATATATATGTATATATATATATATATATATATATATATATATATATATATATATATATATATATATATATATATATATGTATATATATAGATAGATAGATATAGATATATATAGATATAGATATATTGCGCATTTAGTAACAGTTGTCTGATAAATAAATGTCTGAAAAAAAAAAAAGGTTTAAAATTAAAGTTGTTAAAATAGTTGACCAAAAATTTAGTATGTTTTTTAGCAATATACATGGGTGATGTGATATTCTAAACATATAATAGTATATTTCTAAATTTTATTAAGGGGATGTGATATTCTAACATTCTAAGCACTATCTTGTATGTTGTTTTTTAACAAAATACATGGGCGGTGTGATGTTTTAAAAATGTAATAGTATATTTCGAATTTTTAATAAGTGGATGTTGTTATTCTAACATTCTAAGCACTATTTAGTTAGATATTTTTAACAAAATACATGGGTGATTAATATCTATGCTAATATATTGTTCATGCTAAAATACAAATTAGGACTTAGAAATTTTCTGTAAATTCAAACCGATTTACAGAAAATTTCTTTCAATCTAATGTCAACAAATTTAACACAAGATCAACTGGTAACTTTATTGTACCCCGGAAAAGACAAAAAATTCTCAATTTTCTATTTCTTACCGCGGCTCTTATTTATATAACAAATTAATTCCGAATTATACCTCAATTTCTCTTGCTGACAATATAACTTCTTTAAAGTCAAAACTAAAAAATCATGTTCTCAATACAAATAATTACTTAGAAATGTTTTAGTTCCAATGATAAATTAATATTTACGCTCACATTCAAACAATCAGCAATCAATCAAAAATGAAAGTATATATTTTTTTTAATTAAAAAATAAAGAAAATATTATTATTTTAAACCACAACACTAACACCATACATATTATAATAAAAAGAAAAGAAAAGTCTACCTCAATAACATTTAAAATATTTGTTTTATGAGAATCATAATGTTGATATGTATACTTTACGCAACACCCCAAGGTTCTCGATGATAAGACTAAACTCAGTCTTCTACGAGTTACCTACAACAGTCAAAACCCTTATCAAGTCATAGAATATTTAATCATTGCTTCCTATGTTTATCTTAACGGTATTTTGTAAAATATTAATTTTTTTGTATTGGAAGTTAATTTTGTTTATGATATCGCAGTGTAAAAAATTTTGTAATTAATATGTAGTTGTGAAAATTTAAAGAAAAAAAAAAAAAAATTTAAGACTGAACAGGGGGGCCCAAAATTTTATTAAAAACATTGATAACAAGAGGGCCATGGGGCCTTGGCAACTTGCCAAATTTTTATCATAAAATATAAATCTAGCATAAAATATATAAATATATTTAGATTTTTTGTTTACATCCCCCCCTCTTCCTCCACCCTCTAAAGAAAGAAATATACGTTGCAATCTTTGAAAGGTATCAAGACTCATTTATATATTTTGGGGTACCTCACCCCCCTAAGCTGTTATTTTTGCATTTCAGTTTGCAAATTTGTATATTTATCACTTTGAGTTGGTATTATTATTTACAGTTGGCACATTTGTATATTTTTGTAGTGGAATTTTTCTTGTTTCAAAGTGGAAGCTATTAAAGTTCCACCACTTGTTAGAAACATTAGGCGTCAATATCTTAAGAGAAGGAGGAAATATTTTATATAAGTGCAAGAGAGTGCTAGATAATGTACAACATTTGGACAGATGTCCAGTATTGAAAAATGGTATTTAAGAGGGAAGTATTATTCAGTGATTAAGTTAGAGTTGTGTGAGTGCTGTTTAAGTTAAAGTTGAGTAAGCGTTGTTATAGTATTCCGTATGTATTCCGTATTTTTTTTGGATTTTCAAGTATGTATTCCGTATTTTTTTTGGATTTTCAAGTGGTAAATTGAAAAGCTAAAGCAATTACTATGAATATGTTAAAAAGTAAAAAAAAAATTAAAATATTAATTATGAAATACTTATGTTCAAGTCAAACTATTTGGACAAAAGTGTGCTTCAAGAGAACTTTTATGGGTGATGTTTCGTCTAATTTATATGGAAATACTTTAATATTTTTCCAGACATATAAACATCGATGGAAAGGTCCTTGAGATTAGCTTTTGATCGTTGAAGTATTTTAAGAAAAATTTGATTGCAGTTGTGCAAGTAAGGCCAAAATATTAAAAAATATCACAAAATAATCGAATGTTTCATCTTTGGTGGAGCAGGAAAACTAAATTACAATTCTTTACAATGTGGTCTCATCATTTAATAATGCTATACATGCTCTGAAAAATATTTGTGAAAAATTTAGCCGCCCTTTTTCGCCCTTTTTTGAAATAATTGATATTTAGTGATGCAAGGTTCTTGTAAAATGCCATTTTTCTACTACTGTTTTCAGTAGCAGATTCAATTTTTTTAATGTTTCAGATTAGATTTTTTAGGGCAGTTTATAAACTTTTTAAACTAAGTTCATGCTTATTTCAAAATATAATATTTAAAAAAAAATACTTTAATTAGAGCCTGCGGACAAAATACATCCAAAAATTTACCGCCCCTGGCCCAATTGAGCTAGTAAAATATTTAAGTTTACAATTTTACACTAAATTTAAAATCGTTGACAGGCTTTAAATTTTATCTAATAATCTTTAAGCGTTCGATAGTTATGACCATTTAAAATTTACAACCCCTCAATGCATTGAGGGAGTTGTAAATTTCAAATGGTCAACACATTCGAACGCAAAACGATTTTTAGATAAAATTTAAAACCTGTTGATGAAATTATATTTTGCATAATATAGTATATCTTATTGCCCTCGCGCTCGCGGTTAACACGGGGTTTTTTAGGAATATTTTTGTTCCCAGGCTCCAACCACTGATGCTTTTTACAAAGCATAATAAGGTTTTAAATTATTTTAAACTCTCCTGTTCCCGTAGGGGCTTTGGGCGAAGAAGTACTTAAGTGTCGCAACAAAATTACTAAAAAAGATTGGCTACAATATGCTCGCAAGTGCTCAAGAGAAGATAATTTATTTGATGTATTTACACGTCCAATGAACTCATCAGATCCAATTATAAGTACATTATCTTTAAGTACAAGATCTAAAAATAAAACTTATATTCTTCCAAAAGAAGTTAGTACTAGAAGAAGTAGACTTTAATACAAGCAATTACAAAACGATGATGACACATCAGATGATGACAACGATATTGATCGATTTAATGAAAACTTTAATATAGATGTAGAAATCGATGATTATTAGAATTAAAAATAACACCACCCCTGAATTCAATTTGTCTATTATTTTGACGTAAAAAGTCCACAAGGTTGGTAAATATTATTTCGTGGTTCTAACCAAATTTGTTCGCTAGCAACACGTTTTCACAACAAAGTTTTGTCCAAAGTTGCTCCCTCTTTATTAAGATCTTCATTCAACAAATCCCTATGATTGCTTCCACATAGTTGGCAGTCCAATTTATTTTGTGATACCGCATCAGGTTTTGTTTTTTTCAAAAAGTTTTGTCAACTTAGGTATGGACGCAAAAAGAAAATAAAAACAGTCGTCTATATTGCGAAATTTTCAATTTTTTATAATTCAATAAAAAATTATTATTAACTAAGAAAAAGGAATTTGTTCCTTACAAGCTGGCCTCTCCAAATGTCCTAGACACGCAGCGGCTGGCTATGATTTTAATTGGTTTTTGTAGATTCGGAATCCCTGTGAAGCTCTTCTTAATTATAAACTCTTTAAAAAATTTAATATTAATAATATAATATAATTTAATAAATTCTTAACAATAAACTCTTTAAAAAATTTGTCACATTCACTGTTTAAAATATGAAAAACTGCCTAATTTTTGTTAAAACACCTTTTACAAAAACTCACTTTATGTTTTCATTTTTATTACTTTTTGAACTAAATATAAAATTTTCTTAAAATTCAACATAATATTTATTACATATTAATAAATATTATGTTGTATTATTATATAAATATGTATTATTATAAAAAATATATATTTTATAAATTAAAAAAATATATATATATGTATGTGTATATATGTGGCGGTGTATGCATTTTTATTCACGAGTCAATCCATTATCAGAAAATAGAAATTCTTAGCATTCAAAATGCGGAATTTTCGGTAAAAATAATAATTTTAAATGGTTTTGTTCCTATCTAAAAAATCGCAAACAATGCGTATCTTATGACAAAACCTACACTAAATTAGAAAACATTACCTGCGGAGTTCCACAGGGATCTATTTTAGGGCCTTTGTTGTTTATTATTTATATCAACGATATTTACTTATCATCTAGTATACTAAACTTTAATCTTTTTGCTGATTTTGCACTCAAGTTTTTTATACTCACTCTAACATTAAGACAATCTTTACCACTATGAATAGTGAACTTGATAACCTTAATGAATGGTTTAAAGCCAACAAACTCTCTCTGATTCCTACTAAAAGCAAATATACTCTCTTTTCTAAATCCTCTAAATCTGAAACGCGGCCTTTAAACTACCGGATATTTTAATAGAAAAAACCAAGTTACAACGGACATACTGCGTTAAATTCTTAGGCGTTTTAATCGATGAGCAAATAAATTGGAAAGAG